CAGTGGTCTAACAACTCTTAGCGCGCTAATGGCATAGTTCCCCTGCCGCATAGAGAGTTGCCACAATGATATTAGGTTAGCTAAGGTCAGTTAACTGACTGGTGGGAAACGGGAGCTTAAGCAATGGCTATTCTGTATGCATTTAAGAGATAGTCTACCAGAATGGATGTTTTTTTTGTACTATTTTATGTTTTCTGATGGTTTCGGTTATGCAAAACATGAGAATTAACTTTTCCAATGCTTTCAATTGTACAAAGCATTAGAGCTAGAAACATGATCTTGTAAACACTACACACCTTAACTGGTAGTTTGCTAAAAAAATGCTACAACAATCGTCAAGCTCGCTGTAATGTCACCAAGTGCCTCGTCACCTACAAATTGGCGCCTATGTCAGTGGTCTAATAACTCTTAGCGCGCTAATGGCATAGTTCCCCTGCCGCATAGAGAGTTGCCGCAATGATATTTGGTTAGCTAAGGTCAGTTATCTGACTGGTGGGAAACGGGAGCTTCAGCATTGACTATTATGTACGCATTTTTATGATGTTATCTAACAACAATGGTGTGTAGTGTTTACACGATCATGTTTCTAATTCTAATGTGTTGTAAATATAATTGAAAGCATTTGAAAAGTAAGATTCTAGTGTTTTGTATATCTAAAAACATTAGTAAACATCTACATTTGAAAACATTCAAACAACGTTTACTTTAAACGTTTTGTACATCTGAAAACATCAGAGAACAACAAACACGAAGTACAATTGAAAACATCCGAACAACGTTTAGTTCTAACGTTGTGTACATCCGAAAACATCCAAAAAATGTTTGGTTCTAGCATCGGGAAACATCTACGTTAGAAAACATCAGAATACATTTACATATAAAAACATCCAAACAACGTTTAGTTCTAACGTTTTTTACATCCGAAAACAACCGAAAAACGTTTGATTCTAACATCAGGAAACATCTACATTAGAAAACATCAGAATACATTTACATATAAAAACATCCGAACAACGTTTAGTTCTAACGTTATGTACATCCGAAAACATCCAAAAACGTTTGGTTCTAACATCAGGAAACATCTACATTAGAAAACATCAGAAAACGTTTACATTTAAAAACATCCGAACAACGTTTAGTTCTAACGTTTTTTACATCTGAAAACATCCTTAAAACGTTTGATTCTAATGTCAATAGATTGAAATTTTTGACGTCAGACCGACATTAGAATGGCAAAATTTTGTTCCAAAATTTCTGATGTATACACCATGTTACGTTGCTTAAATACAACTAAATCATAATGTTTTCTAATGTTTGACATCAGGCATACATTTGATTTCGATGCTGATGTAGACATCAAAATCAAACGTTGGGCTAATGTAAATTTCTATTCGGGGTGAGTACCCTGATTCAGCCGGTTCGATTGAAATCAAATCCCGAGGTAGAGACGATTCTGTGTTTCGTCAAATATTCGCAAGTATGGAGTCTAGCAGTCATACAACTGTGAAAAACGATATTCCAAAGCGAGGATCCATAAGCCAACTTCATGGAGTCATCAAAAACCAACGACAGACCATCCACAATTTACGAGCTGAGGTATTTTTTATTTGTATGTACTGAAATCCCTTCAATTAATGAGGTGGGTAATACAGTCCGCCCGCCGTTATTTCTTTGCTGCCTCTTTCAGTTTCGAAGTCAATGTACTGATGAGACATCTTTTTGGTTTGTTTTTTACTATTTCTAGGTACGAATCAAGAAATCAAAAATCAAAAGCAACGACCTACTGCTGAAGAAAATGACCAAACAGATCAACGATTTAACCAAGAACAACGATACTCTTCGGAAAGCTTGTGATGAGATGGGTTCTGTTTCCGAAACCGTTATCGAAAAACGAATTCGTGGAGCCTTTCTTAAGTTGTTTTCAGAAAATCAGACGAATTTAATGTTGGGCACAAAAAAGAAGGTTGTCTGGACGGCAAAGGAAATAGCTAATGCCTTTGTCCATGATTATAACAAAACAAAGAGTTGGGTATTCGATGTACCTGATTAATTAAAATTAACGATAATGATAAAGAGCTGATGCATCTCCGTTCGTGAGGAATGATTTATTAACATTTTCTTCTTTTAATTGTCCACGTGGGCTGTGTACAACCCCTATAGTTCCTGGAAGCAATTATACTCATCCACCAATTAGCTTTCAAAACGTTATCATTGAACACATTAGAAGCAATTATGGATATTCTATACTTGCTTAGCATTCTGTTTTTTTTTCTAATTAAGGGGGAAGACGGAGGAAATAATACTTTTGGATGGTTAATGCCTTTTTAATCATGGGTATGATGTTGAAATTGTGGAACATAAAGTAAGTATCTCATTTATTTAGCCGATTCTATAATTTTACTCCATACACGCCCATAGAATGTTGTGCTAGTATTACGTCATCACTCGCTAGCTCAGCGATGTTTACAACATTATGGATTCCAATACAACAAAGCGGTATGTTGACCCAGACCTTATATAAACGTCATTGGGAGGGACGTGCTGTCAAATCAGCCTACTGATCAGACTGATCATTCTTGTATAAAATTGGTTCCAAAGGTAAACAAACCCTGTATATAGGTTTCTTATGGCTTGTTTACGTTTGGAACCAGTTATGCGAGGTAGGCGACGATTGTTCGTATTTGACAGCCACCCTCCCCCCTTGGTGATATTAATTAAGGGTAGGGTTGCCAGTTTGTTTTTTAATCAAAATACAGCGCACGGTTGCTTCAGCTAACTCACCGGGTGAGCCGATCGTACTCAATTTCGTCTGATGCATTGGGCCGTACACAGCAAAAAAAAATGTAATATCGATCAACGTAATTCAAGCTGATGTATGAAATAATGATGTAATAGCAAAACGCAGATACAATATTACATCAATGGATGTAATTTTGTTCGCAAAATCGATGTACATTGTACAATGCGATATTACACAACCGATGGATTGACCTGGTTGCAGCAGTTTCGATGTAATATTCAACAACTTTTTTTGCTGTGTATAGAGCTTTTTGACGATTAATCGGCGCACACTACTGTACCATTTAAAACGAACGAGTCCGAGCAAGAGGGAAACAGATTAGTGGGAAAACAAACCGTCCATTCATCCATGTGTGCTAGATAGAGAAAGATGAATAAACGTCAAAAAGGTCTATGTATAAAAAGAGTTGACTTTACTTTCCCGTGCTTTTATTACGGGAAAAGTAAAGATAACGCTTTTATTCATACGACCTATACGCCTTTTTAATGCACCACCAACGTAGAGTGCGCCACGTGAGTTCGAGAAGAAACGTCAACCAAACTGTTTGTTTACATCAGAATAACAATTTTTCACAACGCAAATTAAAGCATTTTTCATTCAACAACGTTTGGTTCTGTTGTCATTGGATGTATTCTGATGTTTTATGCGTGCAACAAATTACATCGTGATGAATTTTGATTTTAATGTAACGTTACACAGCAAAAAAAAAATGTAATATCGACCAACGTAATTCAAGCTGATGTATGAAATAATGATGTAATAGCAAAACGCAGAAACAATATTACATTAATGGATGTAATTTTGTTCGCAAAATCGATGTACATCGTACAATGTGATATTACACAACCGATGTATTGACCTGGTTGCAGCAGTTTGGATGTAATATTCAACAACTTTTTTTTCTGTGTAGGTTCTGTTGTCATTGGATGTATTCTGATGTCAAATTTTACATCGTCAAGACGTTTGATTCTGATGTAACGTTTGAGGCTAATGTATTTTTATGTACTTGGACGTCACACTGAAGTCTGAATACATTAAGGGTACAGCAATACACGTTAAAATTTAATGTATTGAAGATGTATGCTGATGTTTTCTACATTACAATTTCTATTCGGGGTGTTCAAGGGTAGAAATGGCATCACAAAGGACAGTCATGTTAACATTCAGATCAAATACTCCAGAGTCATTTCCATCGGGCAGTACGCTGCTGTTCAATGTCGTATTTAAGAAACTGGATCGATCGGTGCACCCAGCATACAAATCAAAGCGGGACGAGACATCAAGCACTAAGTCTGAACGGTCCAAAATTGATGCATTCAACGAGCTGCTGTTGCTAGCTGCATCTACATGCAGGCTCTTGTCAATCTGACTGCTCTTCTCTTCGATAAATTCGGATCCGGTTTCGTCATTGAACATTGGATTTCGCTGAATAATTTCCAGAATATTTGCTGGTAATGTTTCGGAAGACACGATTTTTTTCACCTGGTCGTGTTGTTCCAGCATCTGCGCCACAAGACTTGCACGAGATTTTCGCTGAGCCCGCAATGAACGATCTGATGGATGTTCCGGCTCGGGGAGACGAATCGATGGAACAGCTGTAAAATAAAATTTAAATGGTTTGGTTGAATACATTTTAAATTGTTTTAAAACACTCATTACCTTCTCGGGACAAGACACGCCGGATATCGCTATACTGTAAACGTTTTCGAAATCCTCCTGCTCGAAATGACGGGAACACAAAAATAGTGGCACGGATTGATCTTTCAGCGAACAAAACGTCAGCCACTTTCGGCGTCGGGTATTTTCCCTGGGAAATGCGTGCAGTTGGATCGGAAGATTGTGTTTCCTTATATGGTAACTCGACACGGCACATTTTTGCAAAGCACATTTAACCATTTTCACCCAAAATCGTCAATAAAAACTACAAATTAATGAATTCATAAAATATCAACAATCACAGAGCTAAGAAGTGAACGATTTCAAAACAAACAGTATTACGTAACACCAGCTGAGAGCTTGTGTAGAGTGCATAGGGAGCGCGATAGTATAAGTGTCAACAACGAATTTCACCCAATAATTCACTAATACTGTTGTGTCAACAGGGCCAGACCTTATATAAACGTCATTGCGTCCCTCCCACCTCAATATCACATGGTCAGCACATGAGTATCAGGGGAAGGCGCCAAATGCCAGTGAAATAAATAACATTAACAAATTGAAATTTAATTTAAAATTAACATTTAATGTTAACCCTGCTTGCACGCATGTGAAATTTATTATACTCGAGAATAGACGCATAAAACTAAGGGAAGGGTAAATTAAGGGAAATTTACCAAAGCTACAAATCCGGTAAGTAGTTCGGAAAATTCTTCCTTTTTCGGATGGTACATATTTTATATTTATTGTTCCTTGTCTGATTCTGCTTAGCTTTCCAGGCAAATATCTTCTAGTAGATCCGTCACAGATGAAACTGCCTTTCAAGCATTGTTATCAGCTGCAGAAGCATTTGTGTAAGTACCTACCTTGTACCATCTTAAACCGTATGCTATTATGAAATGATAAACAACACCTAGCTTGATTCTTTCAGTTGCTAAAATGTCCACCTCGGCTGCGAAACCAATAGTTCCTTCTCAGCATAATCTGGTTTGGATTGATCTGGAAATGACCGGACTGGACGTCGAAAAGGATCGCATAATTGAAATTGCCTGCATTGTCACGAACAAGAATCTGGAAATTTTGGAAAGTGGCCCAGATGTTGTAATTCATGAACCGGACGAGATACTCGCAGCCATGAACGAATGGTGCCAGGTGAACCATGCGAAAACGGGACTCACCCAGGCGGTACGGGATTCGAAGGTGAATGTAGCGGAAGCGGAAGATTTGGTTCTGAATTTTGTCAAAAAGTACTGTCCGGAAAGGGCTTGTCCATTGGCAGGTAATTCGGTGTTTATGGACCGGATGTTCTTGAATCGCTACATGCCTCGGTTGAACGAGTATTTGCACTACAGGACTGTGGACGTCAGTACCGTTAAGGAACTGTGCAAGCGCTGGAACGGTGCGGTTTTCAGCCACTGCCCATCCAAGAAGCTGGTGCACAGAGCGTTGAATGACATCGAGGAAAGCATTGAGGAACTAAAGTACTATAAGGGGCACATGTTTCAGAAATAAGACGCGTTTCTAGTCGAATCGGATTGAATCTGATTAACACAAACTTGATCGGGATTCAATCCCAGGGTAATACCGTTCGGAGTTTACCACCATCAATGCAAGACTTAATTAGATTAGATTAGATTTATCCTGACTTATCGGGAATCAACTATGAAGCTGTATTTCTGGATATAGTTTTTTTTTACTAAGGACATAGAATTTTCTTTCTTAGATATCTAAAATAAACAATTGATTTTATGAATTACATTTAATACCGACTTATGAATTCCAAATAAATAATCTTTTAGACAATGTTCGTGAGATAACTAGCTTTAAAAGCACGATCAATGCAAGCCCTGAGAGGGTAGCCTATCTCACCCGAATAGTTGCTAGTCACTGGTTACCTCCGCTTACATGAAGGTTAGGGCCGCGGCTACCACACCGGAAACTGCCAGCATAGTGTATCCGGTGGTGTAGACCTCCTTGATGGTCAGGAACTTTCCCATATCCCAGAACAGATGACGTACTCCGTTGACGGAGTGGAAAGCGAATGGATAGGCCAAGGTGAATTTAAGTGCCATCAGCGTGGGAGCGCTCAGTCCTTCCAGCATGGTCAGATAATGGGTGGCATCGTGCGGCAAAGCCAGCGCTCCCAGTCCCATCATGGTGGCGTACCCGGCCAAAGCCATACCGGTCATGCGATGCGTGATCGACAGCATACTGGTGAGCTGCGGAGCGTAGATGGACAAATGGGGAGACTGGGGTCGCTGAAGCCGAGCATTGCGATCATCGTGCGACTCTCCGGGACGGTTGTCCGCCTGCACCGGTTTCAGCACCACGGTACGTACGGCAAAAAGTGGCCCAGCAGTGTTTTGGCTTTGCAGCAAAGTGCGTCGGCAGGCGTTTCTGTGGAGTAGGAAAAGCTTTTCTTTAGCTGTGATCTAACGCAAACATAATCGGTCGGTCGGTCAGCTCGGGGCAACATTATGTAATCCGTAAACAGGAATTTTGGGAATGGAATTTAAGTAGCACTGCACGGGAAACGGATAGTAATTCGTACCTCAGAATGAGCGATGCCATTTCGGGAAATATCTTCGCGAAAAACTAAGTCGATAGAAAGTTTTTTCGAGCGTAATTTGGCTTCTCCTCGGAACACTCGCCACAGGATCGTTTTGCGATTTTTCGGATTCTTCGCAGAGATGACAGGAGCTATTGGTGTGCGTTGGTGTTTTTTATTTCCCAATCAAGCATTCGAAGCAAATTCTAACGATTTGTGAGGGGTATGACTGTCAACAGTACGGTCAGGATAAAAGAGGCATTATTTTTTATTTGCATAATTATGAATTATGAGCCGAATTTGTAAATTATATTAGGAAGTATTTACAATAAAATTTTTAATTGAAAATATGTATTAAATATCTCAAAGCTTTCAGAAAATTCTGTGAAATTACACAGCAAAAAAAAATGTAATATCGATCAACGTAATTCAAGCTGATGTATGAAATAATGATGTAATAGCAAAAAGCAGATACAATATTACATCAATGGATGTAATTTTGTTCGCAAAATCGATGTACATCGTACAATGTGATATTACACAATCGATGGATTGACCTGGTTGCATCAGTTTCGATGTAATATTCAACAACTTTTTTTGCTGTGTAAACAGTATTTTTTCCGCTGGAAGTGCCGGTTGAACAATCTTCAACCGATACTGTTCATTCGAATCAATCGAACCCCACTGGGCTAATCTCGCATGTTGACGCTTCGTAAAATTTCATCGCGATCAGAACAGTCGCGAATCAGCTGGAAAAACAGAGCCGCAAATTGAGAAAAACCTGCAGAATAATATTGAAACCTTTTTGAATCTTGAATCGTAAAAATCAACCAGTATGGACGATAACGACGAGCTGGAATTTGTGGAGGAGGATTACTATGCATTCCTGAATGTACCGCGAAATGTAGGTTTGATTTTAATTAAAATTCTCGCAGCGATCCCGTCTGCGCGCCGGCAGCGGGTTTGAACGAGTTGGTTTCGTAATCTAACCTTTCGATTACATCAAGAAGCGATTTTCGCGAAGATATTAAACGATGGTTTTCCCACGCAGGCAACGCCGGAGGATATCAGCACTGCCTACAGGAACTTCAGTCGGATGTACCATCCGGACAAGCATATCGACGTTCGCAACAAGGAGAAGGCGGAGATGATGTTCAATCGAACGAAGAAAGCGTATGAGGTGCTGTCGGATCCGCATCAGCGTGCAATCTATGATTCCCTCGGGAACAAGGGTCTCGAAACGGAAGGTTGGGAGTTGATTCAGCGAACGCGGACGCCAGCGGAAATTCGAGAGGAGTACGAGCGGCTGGCCCGTGAACGTGAGGAAAGGCGACTGCAGCAGAAGACCAATCCTCGGGGCAACATCACGGTGCAGATCAATGCAACGGACATCTTTAGCCGGTATGAAGATGACTACGATGATGGGGGGCTGTTTCCTACAATTGAAGTCTCCGGAATGAGCATGTCGCAGTCGATCGAGGCTCCACTGTCCCGGACAGACACGGCAACGCTTTCCGGAAACCTTCATCTGCAGAATGGGGTTGGTAGCGGCAATTTCCTTCTGTCCGGAAGAAGACTGATTAATAAGGGATGGTTCGAAGTGGATTGCGGGGCTGGTAGCGGACCTGTGCTGGGGCTGAAGGGTTCGAGAAATCTCACCAATCGACTCTTTTTGAACGGAGGCACGACGGTGAACTTTCGACAGAATGCTATCATTCCTGGAATTGCTAGCAGTAAGTGGTCGAACTAGTTTTAATGTGAAAACATCTTCTGCAATTACGTCTTTGCAGCATTGGCAATCCAACTAGACAAACATACGGTTGGCTACTTGACCTACAACGCCGGTTTGCAGAGTTCGATGTCGACCACGATTGAGCACAACGCGGAAAGGTATCACTATAATCTGAGCGGTACGCTTGGCATTCCTCACTGCTATCTCACTGCCAGCTATACGAGAAAGTTCCTCGAACAGGAGCTCAAGCTGAGGGTAGCGCTAAAGTAAGTTAAACATTTTCAATTCAATTTCCGAGCAGTTTGAAAGTTTATATACTTCAGGGGAGGCACGTTCGGATTCCTGGCGGAGTACGGTGCCGAGAAGAAGGTTTCCAAATACAGCTCTGTTGTGGCAACCGTCAGTTTAGGTGTCCCTACTGGAGTAACGCTGAAAGTGAAGTAAGATAGCGAATTTATCCATATACGGTCTTTCAATGCTCATACTTTCCAGGATCATTCGTTCGACACAGACGTACCTATTTCCGATTCACCTAAGCGAAGAAATAATTCCGGCGGCTATATTCTACGCCACTGTGACGCCTCTACTAACGTACTTTGTACTGAAAAAGATGCTCATAGATCCAATGAACGAGGCGGCCAAACAGCGAAATATCGAAAAGGTCAAGGAAACCAATCGATCGCGGTACGCTACAACGTTAAAAACTAATTCCATCACGACGAATCTAACGCACTTTTCTCCACAGCATGGCTGAAAAGCGCCGGGAAGCGGAATCGGCCATCGCCCTGATGGGGGCGCTGTACGAACGCATTCGCAACGACGAACAGAAGCGAAAAGGCTTGATCATCGTGACGGCTTTGTACGGAAAATTTAACGCTGATGAAAATGTCTCCATCGAACAGCGCGACGAAATGGGATTCATTCAGCACAACCCGAACGTGATCGATGTCAGACTTCCGCTGCAGTGCCTCGTTAAGGATTCCCGCCTGCAGTTGTATGGTTCGACAAAGGTAAATCCTGAAATTTCCACTGGGAAAAAAATATCTGAATTCTCAACTTCTAACTTCAGAGCGAGCTGCCCGGTTTCTATGACCCGTGCTTCGGAGAGGAAAAGCTTCTCCGGATCGACTACGAGTTCCAGGAGCGATCCTACAGCATTACGGTAGCGGACAGCGAAGATATTAAAATTCCTGAAAACGGCAGCAGCTCCCCGGGGCAAAGTTGAATTTGTGAACTAAAAAGCTTCCAAAGCGCATCGTAGACCGGTGGTAGTCGTGTTGTTAACCAGTGCTTAGATTTAAACTGCGACTGCTTTCAAGAAAACCTGTTTAGTCATAAACGAAAAGGAGCATGTCGCTGCTGTGAACGAAAGTGTTCAAACTGCCGGGAAAATAGAGACTTGTTACAAATCCCAATGTGTAAGATGGTGTCATTTTTCTTCACTCTTCGAGCACCAAACTGAAAATGAACTCGACACTTTGAAAAAAAAAAAAAATGAATCGGATTCTATGTATTCGTTTTCTTATGTTGTTATACTATTGTAAAGGTTATTTCCTCAAATGTTCATTAATATGTTGGTCACGCTTCCTGTTTTTGTCATTGCACCTTAAAATTCAGACTATTATTTTTCAACATTTGTTTTCCAGAGGCCAAAACTCTTTCAGTACTAACTAATATCCTTTCCAACAAGATAAAAACATCAGAAATCTTTTGAAAATTGCCGAATATATTACGAAAAATGTGATTTTTGTTTGATGCTCGAAGAGTTAATGTGTTCTGTTTTGTATGTCCTTCGTTGCTAATTGATTTATGATTTTTCACAGGTGAAATGATTTCAATAAAATAGTGCGATTGTAGTTGTATATCACAACACGATGTTGGCCGTAACATTTGAGGTAAGCGGGGTGCTTTTGAAATTGACAAGTGTAATTTGAACATGTCGCGGAACAAATACCAACGGAAAACGTTTAGGGATATCCATTAATTACAGCTTTAACTACTTTAATTACACCCTGTTCGCTCCCGTAGGCCATGTCTCGTGTCTAGGTACTTGTTCCGAAGGTATAGCAAATCATCCATTTCTACCTCTTTATTTTTCAAATTTTTAACTAATATCACTCTTACTTTGACTATCCTCTGTTTTCAACAACTTTCTTACTATACGGCATTTTAAAGATATTATTGTCCTGTGCGAAACGTGGCTGGATTATCGAACGCTTTCCAGTCAAGTCTTCGGTCCTGACTACGAGGTCTTCCGTTGCGATCGGAATCCTAATAACAGCCGTAAATCTACTGGTGGAGGTGTCCTTGTAGCTGTCCGTAGCGGGTTGGAGGCAAAGGCCATCGAAAACGATTCATGGAACTATGTGGAGCAGGTTTGGACAGCCATCAATCTGGGTGATAGCACACTATTTCTATGCGCTCTGTACATTCCACCTCATCGAGTCCGCGACAATGAACTCATCGATACTCACTGTCGGTCAGTTTTCACAGTTGTCGAAAGTTCCACTCCAGTTGATGAGATATTCATTTTTGGTGACTTCAATCTGCCAGGCGTTTCGTGGAGTCCATCTCATAGCGGATTCCTGTATCCAGATCCTGGTAGCTCTATACATTTCACGCAGAAGCTATTAGCCTTCTCGATAACTAAAGGGTGTCCACGATGAAATTGCCACACTATGAAATTGCTCTAACTTTTTAACCGTTGGGTAGAATTTAATGAAAATTTGGGTGGATTTAGTTCATACTGCATTATTTACATCCTGCAAGTTTTAAAGTCCTGTGATCAAAACTCGCGGAAATGGAGTCGAAAGAACAGCTCGTGCGTGATAAAATCTTGCGCATTCATCACGAGAACAATGATCTCTCGCATCGTTCCATCGCTAAAACGTTGGGAATCGCGAATTCCACGGTGTCGCGAGTGATTAAGCGGTTCGAGGAACGGTTGACCATCGATCGGAAGCCCAGAAGTGAAGGAAAAAGTATTCCGTACAACACCAAAAATCACAACCGCGTAGTTGGGGCCTTCAACCAAAATCCGAACGCCTCCGTTAGGGATGTGGCTAAGAAGCTGCACCTAAGCCGAAGTTTTGTCCAGAAGGCCAAAACTAAGGCTGGGCTTCGAACGTTCAAGGTACAAAAGGCCCCTAATCGCGACGAGAAGCAGAACAAGTCCGCCAAAACCCGTGCCAGGAAGTTGTACCTCAACATGCTGACGAAAGTTGAATGCTGCATCATGGACGACGAAACATATGTGAAGGCCGACTTCGAACAGATCACCGGCAACCTGTTTTTCACGGCCAAGGATAAGTTTAGCGTTCCGGAGCATGTCCGCACTCAGAAGATGTCCAAATTTGCGAAGAAATTCCTGGTTTGGAAAGCCATCTGCACGTGCGGGAAGCGGAGTGCACCTTTCGTGACCCAGGACACGATGAACGGACAGGTGTTCATAAAAGAGTGCCTCCAGAAGCGGCTGCTTCCTCTCCTGAAGGCCCACAACGTCCCAACAATCTTCTGGCCGGATTTGGCCTCATGCCACTACTCCAAGGACGTGCTGAAGTGGTATGCGGACAATAAGGTCAATTTCGTGCCGAAAATGTTCAACACTCCAGAGCTCCGCCCCATCGAGAAGTACTGGGCGATTATGAAGCAGCACCTTCTTAAACGACCTAAGGTAGTGAAGACAGTCGAGGAACTGAAGAAAGTATGGGTTTACATGCAAAAAACGGTTGATTCACAGGTTGTGCAGAATCTTATGGCCAGGGTTAAGGCCAAGGTGCGGGCATTTCCGTATGGACTGTAAATAAAATACGAGTAAAATGGTAAAATGAAGTTTAATAGTTATTCCTCAATCCCTGAAAATTTGATGGCAATCGGATGAAAACTCGAATTTTGCGAATCAATTTTGTGTGTGGTAATTTCATCGTGGACACCCTTTACAGCGCAGCGACGCTTTCTCAAATTAACCATGTAGTTAACGAAAATGGTCGTAGTTTGGACCTCTGCTTCGTGAGCACACAGGACAGGGCTCCATCAATTTCCTCGGCTCCTTGTGCACTAACTAAGCTAGTTCCACATCACCCTCCTCTACTTGTCACTGTTGAGGACAAACTCGTGCGTGATTTCGGCGACTATACTGCTACGGTTTCTTATGACTTCCGTAAAGCTGACCACCGTAGCATCATAGATGTGTTGTCTAGCATGGTATGGGAGAACATCCTTGATCCAGATGACGTTGAGGCTGTAGCGCAAACCTTTTCACATGTCTTGGCATATGTCATTGACAGACACGTCCCGAAAAGAACTCACCACAAAATGTCTCACCCTCCCTGGCAGACGAGAGAGCTACGTAGGTTGAAGCCAATCAAGAGAGCAGCATTGAGAAGATTTACGAAGTATCGCACGCATCCTCTGAAACTACATTATGTGAGGCTGAATGACATGTACCAGCGAGTCAGTCGTGAATGCTTTTCAAGTTTCCAACGAGGCATCCAGCGCAAACTTAAGCTACACCCGAAATCCTTTTGCAACTACGTGAACGAGCAACGCAGGGAATCCGGCCTCCCATCGTCTATGGAATTCAACGGAGAAGTTGCTACCACTGTTCAGGATATATGCCACATTTTTTTCCGAAAAGTTTGCCAGTGTATTCACTAATGAGACACTAACTAACGACCATATTAACCTGGCTGCCAGAAACGTTCCAGTAAACGATCAAACGCTGGGTGCAATTGATGTTAATGCAGAAATGATTTCTAAGGCCGCGACTCTGCTCAAGTCATCCTTCAATCCTGGACCTGATGGAGTTCCATCTGTATTTTTGAAGAGACATATTGCTAGCTTGTTAATTCCGCTTCTTCGCCTGTTCCGAATGTCTCTCTCAGGTGGCATTTTTCCATCTTGCTGGAAATTTGCGCACATGTTTCCCGTCCAAAAAAAAGGAAGGAAACGAGCTGTGGATAACTATCGAGGAATTACATCGTTAAGTGCCGTTTCGAAGCTATTCGAGCTAGTGATTATGGAACCGTTGCTGTCCCATTGCAAGCAGTATTTGAGTGCTGATCAACATGGGTTTACTGTCGGCCGCTCTACAACTACCACTCTGCTGTGTCACACATCGTATATAACCGAAAGCATGTCGGATCGGGTTCAAACGGACGTATTTATTCAGACCTATCCGCAGCATTCGACAAGTTGAACCATGCTATTGCGATTGCTAAACTCGGCAGACTCGGTGTATGCGGTAATCTTCTGAGTTGGTTTCGATCATATCTTACCGGTCGGCAACTAAAAGTTGCCATAGGAGATTGCAGATCAGCTAGCTTCTTCGCCACATCAGGTATACCTCAGGGAAGCCACATGGGACCGTTAATTTTTATACTGTACTTCAACGACGTGCATCTGGTCATCGAAGCTCCTCGGTTATCATATGCAGTTGATCTCAAAATCTTCCTACAAATCTGCTCCATTGCTGACTGTCACTTTCTTCAACGTCAACTGAATGTATTCGCTAGTTGGTGCAGGTTAAACAGAATGGTAGTGAACCCAGCCAAATGCTCCGCTATTACGTTCTCACGAAAACAACAACCGATACTATTTAGCTATGACCTGCTTGGCTCGACAATCGAACGCGTGAATCAGGTGAAAGACTTGGGTGTGATCTTGGATTCGCAGCTTTAATTCAAGCAACACATTGCATATGTTGTTGATAAGGCGTCAAGAACTTTAGGGTTCATTTTTAGGATAGCTAAAAACTTCACTGATATCTACTGTCTAAAATCTCTCTATTGTTTGATTGTTCGATCGACGCTTGAGTATTGTTCAGCGGTTTGGAACCCAAACTACAACAACGGTGCCGAGAGAATTGAATCTGTTCAACGTCGCTTTCTTCGTTTTGCGTTGCGTAGATTGCCTTGGAATGATCCGTTTCGATTACCAAGTTACGAAAGCCGTTGTCAACTTATCGACCTAGAACATCTCCGGGCTAGAAGAGACATAAGCAGAGCCCTAACCGTGGCCGATATTCTACAAGGAAGGACAGATTGTGAGGCTATCCTGAGGCAAATTGACCTGAATGTTCAACCCCGACCGCTTCGTAATAACCTTATGCTAAGACTGCCTCTACGTCGCACAAATTATGGAGCGTACGGTGCGATTTGCGGACTGCAGAGAACATTCAACAGAGTTGCATCTGTTTTCGACTTTCATCTCTCCCGTGATGCGCTTCGTCGAAAGTTGTCTTCTGTTTTTCGCCGGCAGGAGTTAAGATATTGACTATAAGATATACGTTTTTTAATGTTTTTTTTTATGTTATGACCATGCTTGAATGTATTTTTTTTACCATAGTTGATAAGGTTAAAATCATTGGGGCTTCATCCAGCCTGTTGATGTAAAACAATAATAAAGCAGGATTCTTTTG